CTCTCTTGGATATCAGCATGTGAAGGACACTGTTCAGGAACTAGTGGATGCTCTGTATGTGATGACTACTTCCATTCTGGAGACGATCACAGATACATGGATCCTGATAGTGAAGCTCAAACTGGTGACGAGTGATCTTTTCTAACAATTCACCTCACAATTCTACTGTTTGAGCTTTTACATATATCTCTGTGTCCCGTGTTTTTTATATCCGCCTTACTTTCATGCTGTTTGAAAAGATGCTGTTGACACCGTGGGCCATCTCGGAGTATTTCTCCTCCAGGTTGGTGAACTCTTGGCTCTGCCGCTGTCCCTCCTGCTGCAGCACGTCCATGTTCTCCCCGTTGATCCAGATGGAGAAGGGGGACGTTCTGTTCAGCACCCCCTCCAGCTGCAAGCAAAGAGTCATTCTTTATATTTCATATCTGTATAAAAGATGTATTTGTTAAGCTTATCAGGAGAGAGAAGAGAGGGAGAGACTGGGGTTGGGTTTGAGTTTTTTTTGTGTTTTTTTGGGACGTTCCTGCTCCTGATACCAATATATGTGGCATTACAGTCACTTCCTATAATGAACCAGCAATAGGGATTCATTCTCCAAGCAGTGTTTACAATTAAACTCCATTATGTCCTTAAACAATGGCCTATTATCAAAGCTCTGTATATCTTATCTTATGTATCATGTTCATACAAATACTCAACTTTTACTGTGATATCCTGTTTCAATAATTACTTTATTCACACTTTATTTTTGCTGTATTATTATTTAAATGTGTATTCTGCGTTATATTTATTTTGACCTTGTGTGAATCCTGTTTCTCATTCTGAGCCTGTTGCCGCCATAAACTCCTGAATTTCCCCAAGGGGATAAATAAAGTTCCATCTAATCTTATCTCTTAGTATGAGTACATGTATTTGTAATGTTCTGGTCCTACCTGGCGCCCCACCAGTCCAGACCCACTGCTGCAGGTACGAGAGTAGTATTTGACACAGGTGTTCTTCAGGCAGGGCTTGCACTCCTCCCACAGAGCCCTCATGGTGTCGTTACAGACCTCCTCCTCCTGCTCCAGCTTGGCCTCCATTTCCTGAGCCGAGCGCATCGCCTCCTGAGGGCAGACAGAAACACACATTTAAAGGTCACCTATTATGCTAAATCCACATGTTCATATCTTTTATACATAAACATGTGTCCCCTCTGTGTAAAGAGACTCTGAAAGTTTCAGGAACAAAGATTCTCTCTCTTTTTGATCCATTTCTATAAAAACCTGTCTGAAAATGAGCTGATCAGATTTCGGCTACTTCATGATGTCATAACGATGTTTTGGCTTGAGTAGCCATTAGCCAATCAGCAACCAAGGTAACCCCTCCCCCTTATCACCTGAATCTCCTCCTAGAGCACCATTGAGTTCTTTGTAACCAAATGTCTCTCAGAGGGGCGTGGGGAGGGGCTCCTTATTTTAATCCAAAGTAACAGACAGAGAATCAGCACTTTGGAAACAGGGCTGAAACAGAGGGGATTATGGGTAATGCTGCAATGATCTGTTTGCTGTTTCTAGCCAATCAGAGACATGTTCTGTATATATCTGAGACCTGTAATATATTGATGAAAAACAGTATAATAGGGACCTTTAACAGGCAAGCTCTTATTTTGGCGGGATCCCTGTTACTTATTGTTTATCATTAGTTATCGTTGCATAAGGTTTTTCTACAGATCAATTTGGATGTATGGATGAAATAACATAATTAAATAAATGTTGCTTTGATATGGAATAATGATGAGCTGTTTCTACCTCTTTTAGGTCCTTGGTCTTCTCCAGGGCATCCAAAAACTTCTGATGCTCCTCTGAAGATGTCTGCATCACGCTCTTCATCTCCTTCACTCCGTTCACGGCGGTCTCGATCTGTTTATCCAGAAACTTCTCCCCCTGGATGGAGATCTCTGTAAAGAAGAAAGAAAAGGGAATGTATCTCATATCCACTGCAGGTGAGGATTCCTGTAACAGACTTCTGCATTTCTGCCCTCTTTGACCAAACTGATTATGTCATGTATTCAGTAATTCATTTGTTGGTTAACATTTATTTATATTTAATATAATTCAATAACCTTTTAACTTCTTGCTGGGCGCCTGAAACTGCCACATCCCCACATATTCAAAACACATGAATATAATACACGGGGCAAGTGTCTTTCCTTTTCTGGGACCAGTTCAAACTAAATTACAATGCATTTGTTTTCTCTATTAATGTCTAGCTATTGAAATACTGTAACTTTAGTGTCAAATGGCCAGGGTTTTAGACTTTTGCTTCTGAAATATATTGCAGGTAACGGGTATTATAAAATGTGAAATCCCAACCGTTTTTAAAGAAAGAAAAAACATGTAATATTTTTTTTTTATTGAAGTTTTCTTTTTTTTGTGACCAACTTTTTATTGTTTTTTTTTTTGCCCTCACAAAAGGGACTTATACAGATACAAATGATATAGACAATACAAAAAGAAAAAGAAAAGACAAAGAAATTAAAAAATTAAAAATATAGGGAATCCCTTTCCCATGCCATCCCGTCCCTCCCCCTTCCCACCCATCTTGCCATTTCACAGAAAATCCTACCTGATGTTTGTTAGCAATCGTCTGAGTTCATCTATCTATTATATTATATATATTATTTATATTATAGCATAACAATTTATCCACATAAAATACATTCATACCTTTTTTTCCACATAACATTTCATAACATACATAACATTTTAATTGCGATTAACTCCTAATAATCTACAATTTATTGAAGTTTTCTGATGCCTTTGTAGAGAAACTTACGGTTAAGATCTTCTTTTGATGGAGGAACAAGACAGTTGACTGAAGCCAGAATTAAAGCCACCACGGCGAGGATCTTGGACCCCTTCTTCTTCATCATCATCATCATCATTAACATCCTCTCTGACTCTCACAGGGCCAGCAGGCAATGATGAGACAAAAAACTGGAAAGACATGAGCATACAGATTCAGTTTCATCTCCTGACTGCTGTAATGTTGTTGTAAAGTCCCTCCATCTCCACTAGAGGGCGACACGAGCTGCGGGAGAAACCAGAGCCCTACGCAGGAGATAATGACCATCGTTGCTCTGCAGTTTTCCCCCATTACACAGCAAAACCTAAAATAACCGCACCGCAGTGATCGATACTGATAAATAATTCAAACTGATCCCTGATGAATGCATCGTTTTTCTTGCAGGCTGTTCCTTTCACTAAAGCAAGGTCATTATCAATCTGCTGACCTCAGATCAGTGTTTCCTGTGCCTTTGGTCAACTGTGCATTATATAAAGAACAGCAGGAGCTTTTTTCTGTTTACCCAATGTTCCTCTGTGGTTGGTCAGCTGCCAGTACAGACAGTTTGAACAGACAGACACATTTTTTCCACTTACAAACACATAGAAAGAAAGTAATCAGGCAGATGGACCGGCCTTATCTCGGCGAGGCTTTCCCCAAGCAGTTTAAATCTGCTTTCTGTTGTTTATTCCTGCAGCAGGGCCTAATCCTCCCTTTTCCCTTAAATACATGGTGATCTAAATCCACCAATCAATCAGTCCAACTACGTAGACACCTTGACATTACCAAATCAGATAATTATGAGCAGAAAGATGCTAAAACACACCTTCTCGTCACCCTTCTAACCCTGAGAGATCATGAGCAAGTCCTCTATACATAGTGATTCTGTCCATTTGGTCAAAAAACACTTCAGATCGGAGCTTAGAGGGGTGCAGTGAAAAGTAAATGGTTGTGTATCTGTATTCAGTGTTTTTATAAAATGTCAAAAATGAAATATCTCAAATTCTTATGTAAACGTATTGATCAGGCTCCTCCCCTCCTCAGTGATGTGTGTGCAGTGTGTGCTCGCCCACCATTAACTGTTTCTATGGAAACAAGTAAAAAGTACAGCATGTTATTTTACATCATATTTGGGATAAATCAGTCCCCAAAAAGTGACCTATTAACATACAGTTTCTGCACTTTTTCAATCTTATTCCACTTTGTTCAAGATATTTCTATGGCTGCTGCATTAAATATAATTTAAATATTTAATACGCAGATAATCTAAATGTCAGCTGACTTATTTAGTATCTTATGGATTGTGTCACCTTGTAGATAAATCTAGTTTACAATTATAATTATTAAAAGGCTGATACATTCAGTAGTGTCGATGTACATTCTCTAATTCAATGTGCTTTTAATGTGCAGTGGGAAATGAAAAAGACGCCCACCTACTCTAGGGCCTAAAAAAACTCAAATGTCCTACTTTCTCCATATGAGCTCATCTGTTCACGATGTTAACACGTACAGTGCAGCAAACTGCGGCGGCTTGCACAATGAGGTCATTATTCATGCCACAATAAGCTTCTCGCTTTAATTACCAGTTACTGGAAGGTTAGTAAACAGGGGAAGACTGGGAGCGGTGAGACCTTTTTTTAATGAGAAAAAAGCAGAATGAGTCAATCTTGACGTGCAGAGAGAGAGGAAAGAATGAGCAACGTATGAGGAAAACACCGAGCCTGAGAGAGCTAGACACAGAGAGAAAGGTTAACGGGGAGTAAGTCAAACATATAAAAAGGAGAAGGAGAGAAAGGAGAAATAATTTACAAGGCGGAGGTGGAGGGACATTATTTGCTGAATAGCAGCTGCAGGGATCCTGGTTACACAACTGAAAGAATGCAAACCCAGCGACCGTCCAGATGTTGCCAGAAAGGCCTTCCAGAAAGTTCTGTTTCAGCTTTGTGGAGTAAAATACAGTAAAAGTGTTTGTGTCAACAACTATTTTAATCTAAAACCGATATTATTACACATATGTTAATAGTATATTACTATTATCTTATCAACTTTGCATTTTATTATTATAGTAAATACTATATATCATGCTTTTCTCTTCCATTTCTATTCTGCATGCAGCACTTAATGGCATTGTTATATTACTATATAGTCCGTCACACATATTGCATTATGTATATCACTACATGCTATCCTATGAAGCTGAAACAATTTATTGATTTGTTGCCTAAAATAGATTGAAAATCATCTTTTAAATATTATCTTTCTTGAGCTTTAATGCCCTAAAATATCTCTTAGTAGCCTTTATACATCCGCTGATATCTGCAGGAGATGCTTGTTTTCACTTTTGATGAATCCCCCTTCTGCTTCTGTCTTATTCTCTCTATTAGAAACTCAAACCTACACGGACAGCTCTCTCAATAGCAGAATACGAAGGACGAATGAATCTAATCTGGATCATCAGGGCTGCTTCTACAACAAATGGGACACTGGCACATGTGACCTCATTTTGGCCTCATTTCAGGTGTTTGGGGATTTGAGTAGCCAACGCATACACCTGTCATGTGGTCATGGAGGAATGAAGGTCAGTTCTAAACTACAATACCTTTTTATTTTTAGAACTGTTGATATTACAAATAGTTATTCTAGGCATGCACATTGGGGGAAAGATATGACTGCCAGAAATGTATTTTTCTTTCAACAGTTCGTTAACAAAAAGCATGTTAGCGTTCCTATTTCACTGTTATATTGGTGCTCGGTGTGCCCAGTTTAAAGTGCATTAAAGAAAAACAACAACAACATGATGTCATCTACCCTAATCCAGTTGTTTTGATCCAAAGATCGAGGTCACACCCATGAGTAAGCTATACAAAGCAGCACTCACCTTGTCAGATATTAAAAACAACAACTAAAATAACCACATTTAAAAGAAATGCAAGATATATAATATACAGCCGAATCAAAGTTAGAGATGTTGACATGTCCTGAGCTAAACTGGGAAATATGTTGCACTCTATTCTATTTTCATTTAGCATAATAACACTTTTATCACGACTTGCATTAAAGATATTTTCTAAAAGCATCACCAAGCTGCAGATTCTCTACTAAATAAAAGCCCCTTTGACTCACCTCTGTTTGTTTCCTGAGACTCCAGACCGTCTGAAGCTGCGTCGGTCTCTCTGCTGCTGGTTTTTATACCCGCGGATAACTGCGAAGGTGCAGACACGTGACTCATGCTGCACGGCGCCGCTACTGTCAAGCTACAGTAAAATAAAAACCCACTTCCGCCATTGCCCTTCAAAATAAAAGGCTATCATGAAAATGTCTTTCAAAGTTTGGGGAAAACGCAGTCATGGTTAAGTATTCAGTTCCCTACTTAGGTATAATTACTAAAACCACACTGTAAAACCCATAAAAAACTAAAAATGTGGCTTTTCTAGGTCGTCATACTGGCTCACTTCTAACGGTTTACTGCCAACAGTTTACTGCTAACGGTTAAAAGCTAACAGCTTAATGCTAATGGGACTATGGTGTTAACTGCTAGCGGCTAAATGCTAAGGGTTAGCTTTTAATATAAAACGTGCTTTCAATGCTTTTTTTCATTCAGAGAGGGGATGGTATCTCGTCAAAAAGAAGCTTAAATTATATCAAGCACCTTTCTGAGAGGATTAACAAAGTAGAAAACAGAAGGGACAATGTTGTGAAGTTTGGCAAACATAGGCAAATGGACCAAATTAACGGCTAAGCAAATTGATGAGAACATGTATTCAACCGGATTATCACCTGTGTGGTTAATGTTGAAAACGTACTACTGTTATGTCACATTGTGTATTTCGGTTTTCGCATTCGTTCAAGTAAGTTGTTTACCTGCCATTTACCACCTGGAAACACCACTGCATAATTCCTGAATAAGTTTTATGTTGTGAGAAAATATTTATCTTGACTTTCATCAATGATGCATATTATAGCTATCTGTTATTAGAAATGTCACTATGATTAATGGCTATTTATGTGTACCACTGAATAATTACCTTGTTCCCTCTACCATTTGTAAACAGCATTGTGATTTTATTTTGAAATCTGAATGCGTTTAATTTGTGTTATTGTGTATAACTTGACCTGGCCTGAGCCTAAGGATTTGACCAGAATATTTGTAATTTACTGGCAGCAGCGCTCAGAGACAAACAGTTGATTCATCCTGACTGTGACTCAACATTTACCAGCTCCCCTTTCACCTTTTCACAGACAAACATGTGACCTAAAACCAAAGTTACATGCACAATTCATAACACGGTTTCCATATTGGCATCAAATCTTTAGCAAAGCCTTTAAATGTGTATTCAATAAATGTGCATCTGCATACTTGCATATCTTAAAATGTAAAGGAAATGGAAACAGGAAACATAGATGCAATGCAGCCATCATTATTGTTATGGGTGGCATCTGAGCTTTAACTGCTTTCTCAGAGCTTAGTTGTGAACATGTACAGAAGGATGTGGGAGTTACCGGTACTAAAACCAATGGCCAAACAAAAAAATAAGAAAACACAAATCTACAAACGTGGAAATAGATTATGACACATCCACTATGCCCACACTGCCTTCTGAAAACGTCGTTAGATAACTTTAAATTTTAACTTTCAAAAAAACTCCAAATCCCCTTTTAATTCCCCCTGATAAACCAACAAGAGAAGGGAACCCCTGTTGTTTATTTAGAGAGGATGGTGTTCGCCAGTACACACACACCACCCAAACACAACCACACCACCAACACAAACACACCCACACACCAACACACACACACACACCACAAACACACCCACCTCACTTGTGGTCTTGGTGTTCCAAGCAGGCAGTGTAAATTCTTTCTTTGGCCAGAGTTTATGCCCCCCCAGAAAATTGGTTTAACAATGGGTAAAAATTCCTTAAATAATAACCATCCTTGTGGATAAATTGATAAGTTTTTAAACATGGACCCTGTGACCAAAAGGCCTCAGGAATCCCTGCTGGTAACTCCTTTTAACCCTTAAATAAATAGTTTTTAATTTTTTGGGGAAAACCTGGTCAGAAACTGTATTCGTCACAG